CTGGGGCGGTATACTATGGGGATCTTGTGTCAACTAGGGTGAATTTCCGTGCGTTTAGGCGATTCTGCCATACATATTATAGAAATCAAATATAGCTAACGTAGCACCCGTAATATTCGGCCGTGGTGCTTCCTTGTTTAAAAGAGTGTATGCCCATTTTACTTCATTTTGTCTCCCGCTTTGCTAAGGAGGGAAGTGGATTTACTGTATTTCCAACTCCTCCAATTTTCTTCTGAGTAATTTCGTTGCGGGTTCCAAGACAGTTTAATTTCTTCCTGGGACTTCCCGAGTGTCATAACTCGGTGTGTTCGTGGGTCACTGCTGTGGATCCTGGTGTACAGGAGTTACAGTGGTGAGCGTGTGGGTGGGATTAGTCCCATACTCCTGGCTCCTACATCCCAGGATACGATCCGGAGGGATTTTCCACCCCGTCAACAAAAAAAAAAGCCGTGTGGTGTCGTGGGACACCCGATAGGAACGAAGTTGTGACGATCGAGTAAAACTGATTTGACACGATTTTAATTACAACGCCATCTATGAAAGCGGCTATTACCTACATATTAAAAACAATTAAAACAATTTATACATTGGTAAAATCTCCTTGCGAAATGATTTCCTATCTATTCGATAGATGGCGCTGAATGTCTGACAAGATAACACGAAAATAAAGAGCAAAAAGCCAACATCACGTGGTATTCCCAGGCGGTCACCCATCCAAGTACTAACAACGCCCGATGTTGCTTAACTTCGGTGATCGGACGAGAACCGGTGTATTCAACATGGTATGGACGTTGGCGAACGTTAAAGCAAATTTAATGTATGGTATCCACAGTTAGACGTCAATTTATATTAAAAGTGTCGTGACAAATTTTCGTACGATTTTTTTCCGTTTACTTTACGTTTACGTAACTTCGTTCCAAAATAAAAAAAAACAACGTTACACATGTCATGTTGTTAATAGACCTATTTTGTGTTACTATCAGTTTGATTTTGAACTAACTGACCCTGCAACTTTGACTGGTTCACCTTGATAGTCAATATCTAATATTGATATCCAACGTACGCATGTACGGAGAAATATCTGGTTTCAAAACAAATATGTTTCTAGAAATTCTTATGGTTAATCTAAACTTAATCTTAATGGACCAGAATAGGTAGAGCCGATACTATGGTTCCCAAACTGCTGATAAACATACTGCCATATTAGTAAATAGAACTATACCGCCCCGCCCCGGCTTCCCACGGGTGCAATAATTGCGGGTGTAATAATAACATTACATTACAAATCTTTGAAATTCTAGGATTTCCTCTACCATAATATGCATGTACAAATTCTTAACCCTACTTTCTAACATCGACAGCCTTTAATAGTCCACTGCTGGACATAAGCCTCTCCTTAGATAGGAGGTTTTGGCCTACTATACCACGCTGGCCAGACGGGTCGGTATAGGGTTTGTGTCAAGTTTTCCTTCTCTCTGCAGTGCTGTTGTCCTGCGTAGTTTTTTTCCCTTAGTCGGCTCTTACGACACCCACGGGATGAATAGGGGTGGTGACACTCTGTATTCTTAATCCGTCACCACACGGACCACCTCAATTAATTTTATTACTTTCTAACAACCTCAATTAATTTCATTATAGTAGAGTGTAGTTTTTAAAGGTTAAAAAAAGAAATACGTCCGTGTGGTGACGGATTAAGAATACAAATTGTCACCACCCCAATTCATCCCGTGGGTGTCGTAAGAGCCGACTAAGGGAGAAAACTAAGCAGGAAAACTTGAAACAAACCCTATACCAACCCGTCTGGCCATCGTGGTATAGAAGGCCAAAACCTCCTTTCTAAGGAGAGGCCTATGTCCAGCAGTGGACTAGTATAGGCTGTTGATGATGATGATGATGGTGAAAAATAGAAATCTAATTTTATTTTTATAGGGTATATAGTCTGGAATCGATAAATTAAAAAAAAAGTTGCGTGTAAAAAAATTGTACCCGTTTTTAAGGGTAGTTTTGAAAAATTCTTAACGACGTTTTTTGTTACTTTTTACTGTGAGTTTGAAAACGCTTCTACCAAAAATTACAAAGTTTTTTATAAATTTCCAACTCCCAATTGCCACCCTAAGTGGGTGCCATAGTGCTCACCTAAGTCACCTAAGAAATATTTGTTAAAAATTTCATACTTCTAAACCTAAATGCTTCAGCTATGCATTGATCAATTAGTCAGTAAATCTGTCTGTCAGTCTCTTCTTTCATAGATATGGATTATAGATATATTACACCGAGACACAGAACAAGTCACCAGTCAGAATCAATGTCTAATCGTTTCGACAATATTCACATGGGCAAACCTTTACGTAGACAACGTGTAAAGTTGAGTCGTTTTTGAAGATTTTAGCTTTTTTGTCATATGTACCTTTTCCTAGGACTTCCCGAGTCTCATAACTCGGTCCCTGCTGTTGATCATGGTGTAAGTCAAATATCCCTACTTTAGTTACACTATAACCTGGCCTGAATCCTTCAGAGCTTTTGCTTACGTTTGCCAATCAATCCGTATTAGCATTACCACTTTTCTTCCATTCTCTTCTCTTCTAGTTTACTTGTCTTCTCAATTTGCCTATCTAATAATCATTAAAGTACTTAATTAAAGAATCAAGGTTTACTTCGTTTGGCGTAAGTAAGAATACAATTATAGTTTTGAATGTTATATAATATATAGACATTTTTTTTTACATTTTTTTTAATATTTTCTCTCTCTCTCTCTCTCTGGCTGACGCTGGTAACCTAGGTTTGCCAGCTGAACTTGGAGTTGATAAATAGGCCTAGGATCTTAACAGAAGGACTGAAGACATTTAATCTCCCTCTACCTAGGGAATGACAAGAACTTGAGTATGTAATGTATGTATAATTATGCAAATACTCGTAAATTCCACAAGGCGAATATAATACCGTAGGCATTTACGACCTGTCAACCTTTGTCGGATGCAGAGACGTGTGTCAGTGGTATATTAAAGTTATAAAAGAAAAATAAAAATAAAAGAATGTACAAGATAAACTAGTCTTTATATAATGATAAAAACATAGGTAGAAATCTCGCTCATAATAACTTAAACATTATGTTAGAGTCCAATTTTGACTTTACAGTATTTATTTCATAAATAACAACCCAAAAGCTTCAGTGACGTACATATAGACAAGACTGTCCGTGGATCCTATCGAAACGAGTCATCCTCCAGAGAAATCATTTTGATATAAAAAATAATGAGCAACCTTGAATTTTACGATAAGTTCTTCTCTCTTGTTATTAAAACAATATTATTTGTAATGGATCACATATTACTTTATCACATCAGACGTTATAGGTCTGTCCAACACAATTATTTTCAAAGCACTTTGATTTAATAGTTTTACGAGACTGACGTGTTTATCTGTAGTGTGGAGATCCGGTGTATTAATAATTAAAAAGTAAGTGTAATTTAAAACAAAATTGTTAATTTCCAAGCTCTTAAATATAGGAAAAAAGTTTTAAAATTCTTTTAAGAAACGACCTAAAAAGGTCCTTTAATTGATGCTTAATAAACCTGTGTAAGGCTTCAGTAAAAACACCGTTGAGTGGTTTCTCAATCTCTATTGATCCCTATTTGTACTCTTTGGGTTAGTTATTTTATATAAATGACTAGCTATTGTCCGCGGCTTCACTCGCGATATTAGGGGTGAATAAAAAAATCTAAAGTTCTTTCTTGGGAATTTCAAGCTTGTAGACCCAAGGGTTTAGGCTGTGCTTTGATCGGTCAGTTAGTAATTTTGTATGTACTTGTATAGATCGTCGATCAACTCCTAACATAGGCAAATCAAAAAATTAATTATAGTATTGAATAAAACGATCATGATTTAAATCATCATCATTATTTTGTTGCCTTTTTCTTAATTATATTTGGGGTGCGAACAATGTGTAAATTTTTAATGATTTTCACAAGCTTTTTATTAACTTGCATTGCATGTATGAGGATGTTTGCTCGGGTGGAATCTTGCAACTCAATTTTGAAGCAGATATGTTCAACCCATTGAGCTGCAATTTTATGTACACGTTTAGTTTGGATGACAAAACATGGTTAGCCGTATGACGTCATTCTAAATCCAACATGGCGGAACACACAAGATGGCGGAATAGTTATTTTTAATGCACACCTACAATAACTGTATCAAATGAAAGGGTTTGCTGAGAATAACTAAATAAAAGGTTTTTCTTTAAATTTATTCTGTTTTTTCTCTTTGTCACTCTGTTTGACGATGGACGAGATGAAAGGTTATGGTACATTGCGACAAGGAAAACAGATAGGGCCAACTGGCTAGGTTAAAGGATAACTCAAGGCTTGTATAGGAATAGGAATCCAGGCTAAAGTAACTTGAAGAGGCAGAAATCGCATACCTCCATCCCCGTCCTAGGAACAGAGACCCTGCTAGGACAGTGTAATTGTAATACGTTTTATTTGTTGTTGTTTATATGGATTTATATGTACGTTTATTTATATGCATATATGTCTATGTACCCCGTTTCTTTTTAACTTGTTAATCGTTTTTTCTTTAACCTACAAAAATATTTTTAACCACTCATATCTGCACTGGAAAAGACTGTGGCATTGAGCCCGCCATTGTACAATTTTATTAATGCATAAGTATCAAATAAATAAGTCATTTGTTTATACTTAGATAGACCAAGAAAATCAAGTAAATATTTATGCGTCAGTAGAATTATTATCGCCTAAAAACAAGTTTTATCACAATTTGAATTACAATTTATGTATTTATATTTATCCGTCATTCAGTTGGATTAACTCCTTTAGGGTAAAATAGTTTTTTGAAATCTTTGTTTATTATTTGCACCTTGTTCCTTGAGAAAAATTTTGCAAAACCCGGGCAAAATTTATTCTTTTCGATAGAAGCAGACGAAGCAAGCAGAGAAGTTGAATAATATTCATATTTTCTCACAGCCTTTTTTTACATTACAGATGAAACTATTTCTTCTGCTGTGCTTGGTCGCTATTGTTTCTGCAAAACCAACTGACAGTGAGCCACCTAAAGATGAAACTTTACCGGAGTCTGACGTCATTTCAGAAAACAAAGAGATCATAGGAGTCTTAGACGTGCGTCCGAAAGATGGGACTCCCTTAATTGATCCAGGTTTTGCCCGCATTCCTCTTGTAACGACTCCTCCACCGTCGAATAACTCTGAATCATTTGAGCTCGTGGGATGTGTAGATTTAACTAGACCTACATAAATCGTCGTATTTAACGTAAAAATTGGAATTTGTTAATAAATAATGTAATGTGTGATTTTAATGAGTTTTTATTAATTTAAATCAATTCCAAAACATTTAAGGTATCATTTACAATACGAACCATTAGTAGGTAATGTACATTTCTAAAAATTTATAGTATTTAAAATTGAGTTTTTCTTGGACTCGCTCAATCTCATATACTACTCAAGATCTGTTGTCAAGAACTGTATTCTTGACTACTTAATAATGGCAAGGATATTACATTTCTAAAGAACAACAGTTTACCTAATATACTAAACTAAATAGAAAATGAATACGAAAATGAAACTCACAAATTCGGCCAAAAATAAAACATCAAAAAATCACGATCTCGAAGTCCCTAGGGTCAGCAAAAAAAGTAAAAGTTCCAGTAGCAGATGACACACATCAGACACATAATACAAGAAAACCAATACGGCCGAACCTAACATAGAAACGTTTCATTACTTGGTAAATGATTTTTTTTGTACATTTTACTTACGTTTTTATTGGCGTAACGACGTAGCCCACCAATTACTTACCGGGTGGGGCGTCTTTGTGTACACTTACACGTTTGTTTGCCTACTTGATATTTATTTTTCATATACATATAAATTAATTATGCTGTCTATAAGCATTTAAGAAGTAGGCTATTAGGTAAATAAGTTTTTATATTTTTTAACACAATAGTGGTTACAATAAGTAATAGTAGCGGAACAACCCTTGGCACGATATTTACGTATGTAGGAGTCACATTATCAATTTACATTCAATCTAAGTATGTATATCATATTTGAAAGAGCTGTTTTACTCTTATAAATAACTAACTATTCGGGACTAGTTTACTGGTACTTTCAGTAAGTTTTCGAGGTGAATGCAGTCGGTCCCATTCGTAAAGGTGGGTGCATCTCCTCCCACCGCCCGTAAACCTCACTTTACAGACCCGCAGTGTAGTCCGTCTTCTTCAAGTTTAAACTTACATCACCATTTCAGATAATAATAATAATATTTCGGACATTTGACACACAACGCCATTTAGTTTCAAACTAAGCAGAGATTGTACTATGAAAGCTAGATTGACTGATAGAAAACTTATTTACTTAAAGTAAAACTTATAAACTTATTTAATCTGGATGCTTTATTATTATTAAGCTTGATGCGAGAAGCCCCAAATTGATCTAAGTTGCGTACAATGGGAGAGGCCTATGTTCAGCAGTGGACTGCGATAGGCTGATGATGAATAAAAAAAGTAATCATATAAGAGATTCATCATCAACAGCCTCTAATAGTTCACTGCTGGACATAGGCCTCTTTTTAGAAATTAGGTTTTGGCCTACTATACCATATGTACGTATAAGAAAACAATGATTATTAATCCTTGATCCATATTCTTGATTACTAAAATAATATGTATAAAGTGTAAATCAGCTTTGCATTTAATCTTTGTCATTAATCGTCCTCGTGGGAATTTTGTGAGCACTAATAATTGTATACGAGTACTTATAAATAAATACCTCAGCCTATGCTTGTTCACTGCTGGACATAGGCCTCTCCCAATGATTTCCAGCAGGGACGGTTGATTGCGGCCTGCATCCAACGGTTTCCGGCAACCTTTACCAGGTCGTCCGTCCATCGGGTAGGCGGTGGTCCCACACTGCGCTTTCCAGTACGTGGTATCCATTGGAGAACCTTGCTGCCCCATCGGCCGTCAGCTCTCCTTGCTATGTACCCTGCCCATTGCCACTTGAGCGCGCTAATCCGTTGGGCTATGTCGACCACCTTTGTTCTCCTGCGAATCTCCTCGTTGCGGATCGATCACGCTTATAAATATTTTCACTTTAATTGTATTTAAAAAAATTAAGGAAAGTGATGAAGTATTGGAAAATGTGTAGCCAAGAAGAAAACGATTACTTAAGTGAGAGAGTCGGAAAAAATGCGGTGAGGTGGTATAACATCGGGGTACCAGGGTTTTCCTTTCTAGGGTACACCTGGTTCCCCGGCTACTGGTACCCGAGAGGGTACGGCGTGGTACACGGCGACGGTACGGTACGGCGTGCGGTTTTTGGTCGGTTCGAGTCCGACATAATCACCCCACCGGTGGGTGATATCCGAGGGGATTTCCGCACAGGAAAAAAAATTAAGGTGGTATAACATTCAAGCGAACGTCGTTTCAGTCAGAGGCTGAGGCCCGATTGCTTTCATGTGCAAATAGTTGTACGCAGAAATATCTACTGGCGAAGGTATGGGTTCCTATGAATAATATTTACATGTGTGCTTATATAGTATAGGTATCTAAGTATATTAATTGTATACGAGGAACCATAGTACATGCTACTTGATGAGTTTGAATATATTTTAAACAAAAAAATATAATATTTCCAGAATACCACATCAAAGAACAAATTTTATCGTAATTACGAAAGCAATTATTTATTTATTCGATAAGGAATAATAAGAACATAAAAGGCACATTAAGAGTTTGTGATTTGATTAAATTAACTCATTTAGTAATTAAATATTCTTAATATGTCTACTCTGAGATTGGTATGGTACAGGCGGGGGGTTCAAACGAACGGACGAGTTACCTGATGGTACGCAACTACCGCCGTCCATGACCATCAGCAACTCAAAAATCTCAAGTTTATTTACAGCTTTTTGAGTCCCCACCCCCAGAATTAGGGGGGTTTGATGATTTGTGGGTTTGCCAAAGTATGTTGGCGGTCGGCGGAGTTCTAAAGTTACGCGAGTGGCGTAAGGCCGCTCGCCGAGCTACGATGGCTCGTTGGTCGTCGGAGAAGCAGGCGGAGAGGGCCTGGGAGGACGACTTCCACTTGGACTCAGTTGGGTTTTCCCCTCCGTTATCGTAGCCAGCCGCGAGGAGGTGACATCCGCGTAAGCCGGACGTTGTCTGAAATAGAGCTTTTTAGATAGATAGAGCGGGCAGGCTCTAGGAGCGGTCCGGTTGTCTTAATAACAGCTGTAGATAATAGTGGCACACCGTGTGATTTTAGTCAGTTCGATTCCGACACACCACCCCGCTGCAAACCCCGGTGGGATGACGGCCCGAGGGAGTTTCTACACTTAAAAAAAACACTCCAGTCGAGCTGAACCCAGTGTGCTAAAGCATAGCTCTCTCACGAATTACACTCGTAGGTATAAACAATTTATTAAATATTATTAAATAAATATTTCGCACATCTTACACACAACGCCATCTAGTTTTAAACTAAGCAGAGCTTGTACTATGAAAACTAGATTGACTGATAGAATACTTATATACTTTTTTTTCTAAATACATAGATATTTTACATAGAAAACACCCAAACTCTGAAGCAAATATTTGCAGATCATACAAACATTTGTACCAACAAGGCAGTCGTATATAAATATATAGACTCTTCAATCATAGATAGATAGATAATACTTTATTTGCACACCAGGGTTTTACAGACATTATAAAGTATTTAACAACGGATGTAATGAACAAAGAGCGCCCTTATCGCTTAGAGCAAGTTTTGCCATTCAACCGTTGGCTGGACTGCATTAATTTTTAATTGGTGATAGGCATATAGAAGTTAAAGTAATAAATAACGTTAAGACCTTTAACCTATGAAATATTTATCGTACATAAATCTTACGAATCAATATTTACACATTAATACTATACATAAATACATAAGTACATACTTATATACATACACTAATTCTCAACTATGAGAGACAGATAATGCTCATACAGCATGGTTTACGGTTAGAATAGAAATCGACAAGGCATGCCATAAACGAACAGCTTGTACGGAAAATGATATTGTGTGAAAATTCGTAGAATGCCTTGGTATTTCTAATTATATGGACAATCAAATCAAAGTAGGTTAGAACTTTTGTACGTAAGTAGGTCTGTCTACAAAGTTTCAATCAGCGTGTATTCACTAGGCGACATTTCGCGGAGATTCATAGCTGAGTAAATAATTTTGATCGTTATTTGTCTTGTCTACACTAATTTTAACTAGTCTTTGAGATATCTGTAGTATTATGGAATGTAAAATAGTAGTGCAATTTAATAGACTTGTGTCTTTTTTATTAAATTTAGTAAGCTACGAACGGTTGCCTATTACACAAACTTTAGAGTACGAGAAGGACCAACAGACAAACCTCAATGAAATGAACTAACAAAGATTGAGATGACATGTGGCTTGCGTACATAAAATAATAATTAGTGAGAGAATTTCACTCTGTGTTTCACCAAACAAAGCGTGTGAAAAATATGCGTCTTCAGTAATCGGAAACGTAGTTAGAAATTGTTGCAAAGGTTAGATTATGAACACGTAGAGACGAGAGGATGACTAAAGAAAAGAAGGATAGACTTCCTCTTTCTTTCTTTTTCCTTTTAAAAAGTCAACTCCCGCATTAGAAATAAATCCTGTGCCGCGGGGGACTTTACAAACATACATGAAACAGACACAAACAACACCCACACTCAGAACAACAATTGTCGTTCCATGTGGGGATCAGGCCCACAGCACTCAGCGTATTAGTGAGCGGCGTGGCGACTGCTGAAACCACTGCGCCATACGTGCATGGAGTGCGTGAAAGGAAGTAAGCAGTGACCTGACGAACGATATGAGAACGGAAGAAGAAAAATCCTTGGTCTGACCCCAAATAAATTTGGGAAAAGGGAAGAGATGATGATGAATTCTATAACTTGTGTCTCCAATTTGCCCTGTTGAAAATCTGCTTAAAATTTTTATGAAAAAAAAACAAATAAATTTAATTAAAATATAATTTGAATTTTAATGTCGGCAAAATTATTAAGAGCTCTCATGTCGCTCTGCTCGAAGAGTATGTTTAATTATAATTGTCCTACTTCAACGAAACCCTACTTGAGATTCATTCGATTTTCTCCTCAAACCTTATTTAATCAGTACTTCATATTTTCTAGTTAAAAGGTTTTTTTGATTGAATATTGAGATTCTTTCTGATTT